CATCTGAGCTAAACAACCAAAGAAAATTTGAAGCTCCTATGTTTAATAGTTTTTGAGCAATAACCATTTTTGTGTGATCAGATACCCTTTTTTCCAGATAAATTTGGGCTCGGGGGTGGGGGCTGTTTGATGGGCTTGATGGATAGAGCTTRAACAGAGCTAAACAACAAAAGAAATCTGAAGCTCTTACGTTAAACAGTTWCTGAGTTATAAGCATTTTTGCATGTCCAGACACCCCCTCTTTGAAAGGAGACCCCTCCTCAAATATGGGGTCTATCGTAAAACCGTTCGCTGGCGCAGTGTAGGTCAGACTCATCTACAGTCCTGCCAAATTTCATGTGATTGGTGCAGCCGTTTTTGTGCTACGGTTGACCAAAATCACTGAAAAAAATAAGAAATAAAAAATAAACCGTACAAAAACAATATGACTCCAGCTTACGCTTCGTGTGCGGGGGTCATAATAAAGGTTGTGGAAAACTTGACTGATATTGGGACAAATGACAACAACTTAAATACAAACTAAAATGTGTGGCAGCATGAGGGCTTACAGGCTAGCACCAGGGGTGTATGAAAATATCGATACACTGAAATATTGCAATATTTCATTTCCAGATACTGTATCAATTTTCTAAAGAACTGTATCTATTTTAAATTAAAAATGTTAACTTTCATGCCAGCGGTTATTTCTTGTGTTGTATTTTGGCCTCAGATCACCTAATTGGCAGTAGTCAGTCGTTTGTCTCCTCCACTCCTAAAGAGCCCGAGTGCAATGCTAGCTCAAACGTTAGCATTAAACATTAGCACTAAATATCGATTAGCAGATTAGACCGACATCCGCTGCCTTCAAAGCTGAGGTAGAGTTGCCAACTGTCCTTTATTAGATGGGATATCCAGTATTTCAAGTCAAATTCAAGTGATACGGGATGCTCTTTCTCCTGACTGCAGCCTGCAATTAGAGCTGACAGGTTACCGCAGGCAGGTAGGAATTTGTCTAGCGCCCTGAGCTGAAGGGGGTCCCCGAGGGATTGTAATGAAGTAGCCAAATGCAACAACCATCTGAAACACTGAGTGCACTGAAATGACTGGCATACTTGTGCTCCCCCCTTAAGGTGCCCTGTAACAGAAGCAGAGTGCAGCAGCTTCATTCCATCCATTTACAGAACTTTTAATACAAGATATAGGCTATTTTAGTGCTGGGTGCCATTTTTTATAATAAATTAACATTATAAATCTAAAAGCTGCCACAAATAAATTATCAAACTATTTAATGGAACTTTTGGCCTAACCATTTAAAACATGGATGAAATAAGAAATATGAAACATAAATATGAAAAATTAAAAACATAAAAAATTATGAGTTTTTAAATATTAGAATTTTTGGAGAAAAAAATGGCAATATATCTCCTTGCTTGCTTACAATATCGCAATAAATCGCAATATCATGACCACTGTGTCATGACAGGGTATATACAGAAATTCTGAAGTTAAATTTAATACCTTTTAATACCATCCCAATGTTTTTAATACCAACACGACTTCAAGTTGAAACTGTAGCGGCAACTGCTTCAACCTATTATTAAAGTTAKTGGATACATAGTTATTTCTTTGCCTTAATGAAACACTGATCTATATACAATTAAGACAATACCTGACAATACCAGCTAAAGAACGACTGTAAAGGATTCATCAATCAACTTCTTTTAAAAAAATCTGTTTTCAATTTTTTCATGCTGAGCCGAGGGTTGCCTGTAGCTTTCAAATATCGCCTTTTAAATTTATCAAAACTGCAAAAAAAATATCCCAATTTATAAACTTTCTTGTAGCTAAAAATACTTTCAATTAAAAACTATGATTGAAAATAATAAAACCTTACTAAACAAATCAAATCAACAGAATCTACGTGAGAACTGTAAATTATGTTTCATGTGACCCTGCATTAATTTACATAAAGTCTGATCCCAAATAAACAATTTAGCTCAAATTCCCAAAACCCTTTAATACAGTGTAGGATTTAAATTAGCTCATATTTTATCTACAAACACATAAAACTGACATCTTCATAGAGAATGCCCTCCCTGAGAGTTTTGGGGGAAAACAATGAAAAAAATCTGAGACACAGCTTTAATTTACTTTTGTTTTGTTCAAACAAATAACTGTTTTGTCAGTTTGTACCAGTAAACACACACCTGTTGATTGATGTTATCTCCCGGGTCATTCTTGTAAAAGTCATCACTTTAATCTCCTCGCCTACTGCACCTGTCTGCTCCAGTCTTCTCCCCTGCTCTGCTCCAGCTAGCTTTAGCTAAAGCTAGCATCCACCGACACACGGCTCCTCTCAGGTGGTGGAGTCAGTAATCCTTCTGCTGGTTTATCTTTTCTGACTTTTAACAATCATCCAGCTTTGATATCGTCTCCTGTTCTTTTTCAGACGTGTCCTAACAAATGTTTTATTTAAAACACCGCTCCAACTTCTGCTACTAGACAAGTCCCGCCCCCACACTATTTCTGATTGGCTAATAGGCCTGTCTAAAGTTCAAGCTGCGTCTCAGATTGGGCCCAGAGAAATGTTTGTTAAATCTGTTTTCCACGCAGCAGCGCATCAGATTCCAGCATGGCGAAAGTGCGCTAGTTGTTTAAAAATTAATACCTCGTCAGATGGCGTTTATTACCTTTTAATACTTTTTAATGGCTTTAATTTGTGCTTATTTGATTTACTACCTTTTAATACTTTTTACAACCCCGTGGATACCCTGCATGATATGTATCATATCATCAAATTTTTGCCAATAAACAGCCCCAGTAGCACTGATGCCTCACAGTAAGAAGGTCTTGGGTTCAAACCCTGGATTGGGCCTGGGTAGAAAAAGGTTAATACATAATAAATAAAAAATGTCTCAAAAATGCAAAAGGACATCTAGAAACCTGCAATCTAAAATATACTCTGATTTTATGCTTTTTTTTTACTGAGTATACCAAGATAAAACAAAAATAATAAATTATTATTCAAACAAGTGTCCTGATGCATCTCAATAATCCAGGTAAAAAATCAAAAGGAAAAAAATTGTATAGGTCCTCTGGACAGGTTCTTCTTTAATGAAACGTTTCGTTAAAGAAGAATCCGTCCAGAGGACCTATACAATTTTTTTTCCTTTTGATTATTCAAACAAGTACCAAATACTTGAATTATACGTGGTTTAGTTAAAGGCTTCAAAAGTAAAGTCATGACAGCGATAGATCCACTAAACTGCACCATGTAGTACAATATAGATCTGAAATACAATGGAAGCTAAACCACTGTACCTGAACCAGGTGGATAAGTGTAGTAAGTATGGCACATCGAAGCATGTTGTGTTCCTCTGATTGTTTCCAGAGCAGAGGCAGGTATTGAACCAGGCAGCCTACATATGGTCGGATCTGCAGCAGAAACACACACACACACACACACAGTAAAGAGGAAACAATAGGCACTCATCACTGTGAAATTCAATTCAAGAGCTTCCCAGAGAGAATCTTTTAGAACAGAAATGGTGAAAGGTTTAGCCCTTTCTGAAAGACTGTGTGAATACTGCAAAGACGGAATATTAAACTATTTATGATGCACGGGATGTTAAAAAGATTTAGAAAGGCAAAATAAATCTTTCTTTGCATAATGCCAGGGAAAGGGCGTAATGTCAAAACTGAAAGACCCTCAGACAGAAACTTGATTATGAGTAAAAAAAATCATTGTCAGTAAACATTTGTTGTTGCTGCATCAATAAATGTTAGTGGGACCATTACTGTGCAAAGAACACAAACTTCGTCCTTACTTGGCCTATTACAATATAGTTTAAAAGTCACATGACTAAAGTAACCTGTACATTTGTGTAAGTGTAATTGTTAAACAATGTACACGTTTTAAAACATACGTACAGCGGGTAAAATAAGTATTGAACACGTCACCATTTTTCTCAGTAAATATATTACTAGAGGTGCTAATGACAAGAAATTTTCACCAGAAGTCGGTAACAACCCAAGTGATCCATACATACAAAGAAATCAAACCATAAATGTCCAGAAATTAAGTTATTTGTAATAATGTGGAATGGCACAGGGAAAAAGTATTGAACACATGAAGAAAGGGGGGTGTGAAAAGGCATTGAAAGCCAAGACACCAGCTGAACTCTCTCAGTAATTAGAAAGCAAGCCTGCCCCTTGTCAGTGCAAATTAATATCAGCTGGTTCAGTCCCAAATGATGGCCAGGTATCACACAAGAACCATCTGATGATGGGTAAAAYTAAAGAGCTCTCTCAAGACCTTCACAACCTTATTGTTGCAAAGCARAATGATGGCATCGGTTACAGAAGAATGTCTAAACTTCTGAAGGTTCCAGTGAGCACTTTTGGGGCCATAATTCAGAAGTGGAAAGAACATTATTTCACCATAAACCGACCACGACCAGGTGCTCCTCACAAGATTTCTGACAGAGGAGTGAAAAGAATTATCAGAAGAGTTGTCCAAGAGCCAAGGACCACTTGTGGAGAGCTTCAGAAAGACCTGGAATTAGCAGGTACGTTTGTTTCAAAGAAAACAATAAGTAATGCACTGAACCACCATGGCCTGTATGCACGCTCACCACGCAAGACTCCACTGCTGAAGAAACAGCATGTTGAAGCTCCTTTAAAGTTTGCTGCACAACATTTAAACAAGCCTGTGAAATACTGGGAGAATATAGTCTGGTCAGATGAGACCGACATTGAACTGTTTGGATGCCAGAATACACATCATGTTTGGAGGTCAAATGGCACTGCACATCAGCCCAAAAACACCATACCAACAGTGAAGTTTGGAGGTGGGAACATCATGGTTTGTAGGGGTGTAAGAAAATATCGATACACTGAAATATCGCGATATTTCATTTCCCGATACTGTATCGATATTCTAAAGCCCTGTATCGATTTTTTATTAAGGTTTAAATTGTCAACTTTCCTGCCAGCCGTTCATTTTTATGTTGTAGTTCAGCCTCTGACCACTAGTTYGCAGCAGTGAGCCAGCCATTTAGCTCCTCTACTTATTGTTGTGTTGGGTGACCATATTGTAAATTAATATTAAAAACTAAAAGCTGCAAAAAATATATTTTCAAACTATTGTCAAATTTAGTCTAATAATTGAAAACATGGATGAAATATGAAACAAATAAAATAAAATACATACAAAGCAGAACACAGCTAAATGTATCAAAAGTATGTCTATGTAATAGAATTTTCTGAGACCATGAATTTTGGTTTTTCATTTTTTTTCCCCCTGTAAGAAGTTTTTATTTAATAGAATTTTTGGACAAAAAAAATCACAATATATCGCGATATGTCGCCTTGCTTATAGTATCTCAATATATCGGGATATATCGTATCGTGACCCCTCTATCATGATATGTATCGTATCGCCAAATTCTTGCCAATACACAGCCCTAATGGTTTGGGGCTGTTTTTCAGCATATGGTACTGGCAAACTTCAAATAATTGAAGGAAGGATGAATGAAAAATGTATAGAGGCATTATTGATAAAAATCTGCTTCCATCTACCAGGATTATGAAGATGAAACGTGGCTGGACATTTCAGCAAGACAATGAGCCCAAACACAAAGTCAAGGAAACTCTCAGTTGGTTTCAGAGAAAGAAACTAAAGCTGTTGGAATGGCCCAGCCAATCACCTGACCTGAATCCAAKAGAAAATCTATGGAAAGAACTAAAGATCAGAGTTCATAGAAGAGGTCCACGAAAACTTCAAGATTTGAAGACAGTTTGTGTGGAAGAATGGGCCAAAATCACACCTGAGCAATGCATGCCACTAGTTTCTCCATACAGGAGGCATCTTGAAGCTGTCATTGACAACAAAGGCTTTTGTACAAAGTATTAGATAAATTTCAGTAAGCGTGTTCAATACTTTTTCCCTGTGCCAATCCACATTATTACAAATAACTTCATTTCTGGACATTTATGGTTTGACTTCTTTGTATGTATGGATCATTTGGGTTGTTATTGACATCTGGTGAAAATTTCATGTCATTAGCACCTCTAGTAATATATTTACTGAGAAAAATGTTGACGTGTTCAATCCTTATTTTACCCGCTGTATACCTTTTGGTACATATTACAGCAGCTCAGATCTATAGTGACATAATTTAGACATTAAACTGAGCAATTTTATCACTGTTGTAAATTACTTTCATCTTATCAGTGAAATTTTCAACAGACGCTCTGAATTGTTCAGCAGTTTATTGTCACATATATAGCAAGTTCATAAAACTGGTCTTATAACATKCCAAGTTCTCACACCGTGATATTAAACACAGACATGATAAAGAATCTTAATTTTTTTGGCATTCACTTCCATTACAAAATGACTGTTTCAGCAACGATTGTGTTGTTGTATTAGATACAAATTAGCCTGTTCTTATTAACATTTCAGAACCGTTCCACACCAAGCCATCAGTCAACATTGACATTAGGTTATGCAGTGCAAGTTATTAATCTGTGTGGTCACCAAAATGAATGAACTCTAAACAATGTGATTTTAACTGACATTTCTATGCATAAAAATGTTTAATCAAGCGTTAGTTTACAAAACAATCCTTACAAAGTGTTGTTGTTTAAATGCATCTAAAATGTAAATTATGTAATTAAATTATGTACTTAATTTGAATTCTGATGGACAGTGACCACAAATATAATAAAAATATATATATTTTGCAAAGCAGGTGGAAACTGATGGCATTTTTTTTGATTTACCGTTTGATGATGATCTGGCTGATACTATGCCATCCCAGTTTGTTCATTCAAGACAGTTTTGCAACATTTAAAACAAAAATCATGCTTTCAGTAGTATCCTCTTCTTTCTGCTGACCGTCACAGATCACTTCAGATGATCATGTTTCTATCTCCTCCTGTCTACCTCTGTCATGCCATGCATGTCCCTTTTCCCCACCACATCCATTAATCTCCTCTTTGCCCTTCTCATCCTTTTTACCTGGCAGCTCAATCTTCAGCATTCGTCTCTCACATATAGAGACTACCTTTTTTTGCCATACGTTCAAACCAACTCAATTTCTACTTTCTTACTTTGGACCAAAAAAGCCCAGCCTGAGCAGTTTCACTCATTGGTACTCCAGTCTAGTTGTAGTACTCTGAAAGCAGAACTCGTAGCTTCAACCCTGCAACACTGCCTTTTTGTCACAGCTTCCATTTCCACACTTCTAAGCAAAGCTGACTACTTTACTGTTTCGTAATACACTGAAGAGATGTTTAGATATTGACTGGCTTTGATACTTTTAACAACAATAAATGTGCACCATAAAATGAGGCTCCGTTAATAGTATTTTAAATCAAATTCCTTTACATGTAAGCAATAGAAATGTCTGGTAGCTACACACCAAATGGGTGCCATCCTTCATTTTCATGGGAATTACAAATTTAAGGCAAAGGGCAAATGTAGGTGTAACTACTGTGCTTAAAGCCAACTTAAGAAATTTGTTTACAGCATCAAATTAATGATTTCAATACATGTTCTGCCTTTTTTTTCCCCTTTCGAGGTTGTGTGGCCATGCTGCAGACCACACACTGGGATTTTTTTTCTTGCTCCATTACACCTTCAAACAGGGCAGGTTATGAGCTGAGGAACGGTAAAAACAGAAACACGACATGCAGCCCTGAGGACGGAGATAAAAAGTAAGAAAAACAGACACACTAACCAGCCTAGGGTGGCATTTATGAGACTGACAGCAGAAAAGGAGCTAAATCTCATATCTGTCATCGTGTTCATTTCAACTCGAGCTGCACTTGTGGTTTCGTTGGCTAGGTTTTTATTTTTCCAACTGCTGCCACTCTGTGGGTTTAAAATCCCTTGTGAGAGAAACTAGAATATTAATGGGAGCTCTACTGTCTCTAAAAGTTTAGTCAGGGGCAGATGACTGGTTAAGACTTAACCAAACTGACATTCCACTAGAAAGAAAGCAAATTCTGTAGCAGCTTTAAGTCGAGGTATTTTCAATGCAATGGTGCCTAAAATGCATAAGAAATAAAAAGCACGAGGGGGTTGAGAGGAAGGTCATTGTTTTTAGATTGACATTTAAATGGATTAAAGTGACTTAATGGATAATCCAAAAGAAAAAWTTTTTTTACAAAAGCACTGCAGAGAAAGTGGTGCCCTAATGGTAAAGGAGAGCAYACACCAGAACAAGTGCTGCCTGAGGCTTTGAGATTTGGGAAGAATTAAACTGAGTCACATTCTGCATAACAATTAAAGCATATTCATGTCTGCTTATCGGTGCAGTCATCTTGTTTTATGTTTGTGGTCAGGGAAAGTACAAAGTGACAAATGTTGTTGCTGTTTTTTTTAACTAAATTTGACATGCTCTTTTCAAAGTTCAGATCAAAACCTTCAAAAGGTGCTTTTTATTTATCCCAAAGCAGCAGAAGTTATCCCCAGCATAAAAGCTTCATTTCACAGTAAGGTTTGCCTCTCCTTCACTGTCCAAGCTCTAACTGAAACTATGAAAAACACTTAGGTGTTACGTGACCCATGTTCCCAGCAGCTTAGTTTGATAACTCACCTGGATGTTTACTCTCTCAATGACGCAGGAAATGACATGAAGAACCTGCATTTTAGTGTCACATTCTGTCACCTGCTGCAACAGCTGAAACAGAAGTCCAAAGATGGACTCCAAGTACTAAAAAAACGGAAAATAGACAACATTCAGGTCACTTAAAATATGTGATAAAAGATAATTTAAAAAAACTGTTCAAAAGTTATACTTACTGGAAGGAATTGTTCTGTCCGGAACTCAAAATCATCAACAGGTGATTATGAGTTAAGAAATAAGCCAAATTCTTTAGGATAAATCCAAACACAAATCTCAAATTGTTCAATTGCCTTGTCAACAATGCAGAGAGTGTTCAAGAACAAATAAAATCAAAATGATCAATTTGTTTGATGCAGAAGTTCAGATTGATCCGAAGCAGTCACAGAATTGGAAGGATATTCAGTTTGAGTGTTGTAGCAGTTTCAATTCGCACCTGTGGAGGAGGAGAGAAAAAAATGTCTGAACAAAAACACAAAATTAAGCTGTCATTCTTTTATTTATTTCTTTTTCAGAAAGCTGCACAGAAAATTAATTTATAAAGCTAGTACTGTGAGTTTGTGGTGACCTAAAATAAAAAGACTGAATATTACAATTGTAGGACCAATAAAACTAAAGAAGCCGCAGAAATGTAACCAACACATTTCCGCAAAATATAATTCTACTTCACCAAACTTGTTAAAAGACCTTTGGCCTGTTTTAAAATAGGTTCTAAAACCTAAGTTTTGTTTGAAAACAGCCTTTTAAATAATTGAAAGTCTTCTGAAAAACTTCACATAGCTGCCACTGTCAATTTTGTACCTTTTATTCTCAACCTTTGAAGAATAAGAAAAGAAATTTAGAGAAAAACTTGAAAAAAACTACATTAGATCAGTGGATAAGATTGACTTGTCATGTAAGTATCAGCCAATTGCCAATTTCTGAAAATTAAGGAAATCAGTGCAGATTTGTCAATGCACCCTTATTGCAGGTCACCTATTTTACTCCTGCATTATTCAAAATCTAAGAAAAAAAAATAAAACAAACAGCCAAGTTTTGAAAGAAAGATATATTCATGTATTGTCTGGTCCTAATAGGCCAAATAACAACTTCAGAAAAATCAAAACAACCAGCCATAACAATTACTAAAGCCATGCAAAGCTAAACACATTCTTTAACAGAAAGCCACATCCTGACATTTATATAACAACAGTATAATCTAGCAGTGTCAGAGCAATGGGGGTGGATATTTTCACCAGGGACAGCAATCAGATGGGTGGAAGAAGAGATTAAAAAACGTAAATGAGTTCAGAAAAAGGTGAGGAGCTGAGAACTCAATTACTGCTGATTCTTTCAAGCACAAAATTTATGCATCTCAATGGTGTATTGGTGAGAGTGATTTCTATGAATGTGGAAGCAGTGATGGAGATAAATGTTATCACATACAATTTATATAAAGAAAAACTATGCAGGCTTTGTATTGTAATTTTACTCCTATCATAATTGATGTATAAACAACCAGTGAATTAAAGAACAAATGCCATGGATCAAAACTAGATGCCATCTGTTTGTAAATTATTCATACGGTCATTCAGCAACCAGAGCAACCTGTCGCCTGCTTTAATCAGTTCCACTTCACACAATACAAGATTTTGTTTTGACGCATAACAAATCTTCTACTTTTAGGTTTACTCTAAAGAGTTTCTCCATGCAAATTTTGGTCTTGTGTATTATTTTACATTTTTAAGCTAAGTAAAATCTTATATTGGGTTTTATAGTCAAACCCTTTTGTGGGTGAAGAAACCCTTTTTGGTAAGAACATTGCTTTTTTTTTTTTTTACATTTTTATCACCCTGAAGTCCCTGGACACATTCCCATTGGTGAGCTCTCCTGGGATCATCATTTGTTTCTAATCTTTTATCAACCACGTACCATCGCTCTTTGTGCTATTGGCAGCAGGCCAGAGCAGTTGGTCCTGGCAGCTAGAGATGTCTTTCCCTCAGTCCTGATGAAAATGATAGTCCTCTTCTCTGAGCCAAGGCATTTGAAATGACTAATCCCTGTGCAGATGGTACCTGTTATGGTCATCTAAAACTTGGAGTTCATCTAATAGTACTGCACTAATGTTTTTTCCTGAAAAAAAAAAAAAAAACAGAATACTCCAAGGGTTTCTGCTGCAGGCAGGGAAAAGATACTAATTTATGGGAGATCCCATTATATGTTTAAATTGATTTATTTCCTCTGTTTTCTTCACTTTTATATGTATAAATGTGCACTAATAAATTAAAGTTAAAAGTTTGTTTAGAAGACACTATTTTAGTTCTTAGCTTGTTTTAAACCACTTACCTATTTAACTTTAGTTTGTCTTGGGACAGTTTAGGGGAACTTGGCTACAGCATTAATTTGGTTTCAGCTCCTGTGTGTTTGGTCTGTCCTTAGACAAGGATTCCAAATTATGTAGTGGAAGCACTAATGTTATCACTTGAAAGTTGGATAGCAAGCAAATTAGGTAACTTTTTTATACTTTATACTATACTTATATCAATACTGGAAAAGCCATTTCTCTTTCAGAAGATTACTTATATTTTTTTATTCTGACAAAAGCCTGTTAGTTTGGTCTAAATTCAAACTGATAAACATAAAACACAATAGGATATGTACAATTTCAAAGTATATAGACAAAAATAAAAACTGACTTTTAGAGATTTTCCAAACATTAGGACATACTATTGATGATTTATGGTCAGTAATGCTGCATGCATGTTAAATACAAATGCAAAAAATTTTTTAATTCAATAAGCCTTTCACCACTCTAACTGGAAAAGGGTTATTACAAAACATATTACAAGTCCATTTTGCATTATGAGCTTCTCTGTAATGAGAGCCTCCAAATGTAGGATAGATGGAATAAGAAGTGCAAAACATTTTGCTTTAATGCTAAATTCAGTCCTTATTGTCTAGTTTTAGTTTTAAATATCAGTAATGATCAGCAGTTTATTGCAAGTGTCTATCAGAATGCTAAACCTACTGAAAACAACAAATAAAAACTTTAGGAATAAAAGACATGTCAAATCCCTTAAAATCTTTCTGCAGTCAACGGAAATAAATTCAGCAAAACTGGGATAAACTTGTAGCACAGGCTGATGTCATCAAGGTTGGCTTAACAAATTTAGAAACTCAATTGGTCTGAAAATGAAGGAGTTTAACATTGACACCAAGATTGTTTTAGCCTTTACTCAGAATGCATAGCATGAGCTTCATTTGCAGCTGTAAGACAGGATAATTCTTTGAAAGAAAACAGGAGCAGAAAGGAGGCACAATGAAAGCAACAGGAGTCTGTGACTAATGATTCACCTCATTAATGCCACTGATTGATGGGAATAAACAATGCACACGTCTTAGTATTGTAGACTACAGGATGTGTTCAAGTATCAAAGAGTTTTGTACTTGTACATATTTGCTCTTCTCAAAGACATAACCACTGCAAATACATCATCATTTCAGACAACAAAACGTAATAAACTGTCAACTTTAAATTAAACACTTTTTATGCAAGTTATGGTTTTTAAATTGTAATGCCAGCCAAAGTTWGGGGGAACACTTGGAGAAAACAGAACAGCTATAATTACTAGAAACATAGTTATCTAAATCCATCCTCAGCACTGTCTGCTTAGGAAAATTCTGGCCCTAAAGCTAATTTTATGGATGACTTCTGGCCAACATTTATAACAAATTGTATTTCGGAGGTACATTTCATAATGCTGTAGAAAACCTTAAATTAAAAAAGAAACATCCACATACAGCTAGAATGAAGCCAACCACGGCTGAAACTTTTATGAATATAAGTTAAAAAAATAATCAAAAATTAAAGTCCATTTTAATGAAACTACAGCCAGAACATATTTATATCTGCCATTTATTTCTTAAAAAACACAGTAAAGTTGGACAGGGACTAAGATAAAATCATATAAAATTAAACCTGAACAACATTTTACTAACTTTGACAAATTTAATGCACAATCCAAGTTATTGCAGGTGGGACTTTGAAGACTTGCTTTCCTTTCAAGAAACATTGACCACTGTAAACCYACATTTATTAACTAGACTGACTGATGAACAGTAGGTTTCTGTTTAGCAACATTAAAAGTTCATGATCAATAATTCATTATGGCAAATGAATAAAAATGGACCAAGCAATATTGATCAAGGAACTGGATCAAGGATTGGAGAGCTGGTCGGTGATGTAAAGGTAAGCTTGTGTGAAGAAAAACCCACTGAAACTCTAAAAACCATAATTACCCTCATAAACCTTGTAGTAATTTCCAATTTATAGCATGAGTAACCTCTTTATTCATTTACCTTCACTGGAGGATTAAATGGTGGTAAATGAAGCKTCTAGTAATTGAATATCTCTGGTCACATTTAAATATGACCAATACTTCATAAAAATWAAAAATAAACCTAAACTGGAGAAGTAAACTCAWACACAAGTGGAAAACTCTGTGGTCATTTTAGCTACCTGGCATCCTTTTCATATAACTGGTACCTGTATTAGAGGAGTCTAATGCAATGTACTATTGATTGTGAACATAAAACTAGGGTGTTTTATGCCCTTTTGARCATTCAAGCAAAACAGAGGCAGCTGAATGACACATTGATGTGTTTAAGCCCAGCGAACCGGTGTTGCAAAATCATCTGAGTGYCAAAAGTGTCAATAACAAAAGCAGTGGGCAGCTTTTGCCATCTCCAACTTCTTATATTCATTTCAGTTTGCCTGCATGCCTTTCCTCGCTGCTGTCTGAGAGGAATATTAGCAAGAAAACTTTCCATTCCAGCTTTGTGTTTTAACACGACTGCGATGCACAACATGAGGGCATCAAAAATACTGTGTGACAGAGCTTTACGCTCATACTAACTAAAGTGTGCAAACTGGAGGATTCATTTCATGTGTGTTAATGGAGTCATGAAATTAGCTGAGCGTCAAAATGATACTTTATTATGTATTGCTTAATTAAACCTATATAATTAGTTTGGTGTTAGCATGAGAAAAGCCTTAAACGTGTTACTATCCTAATTATGTTGTGATCTGAGCTACAGGGCAATGTAACCTAACCCTRAGAGGGAGAATTTTCCTAATAAGAGAAAATTTCCTTTCACAATCAACTCATAAAGAGATTTATATACACAACAACAGTGGTAGGGTTTGTCTTATCCCTACCTTTTCACCAGCATTCATGAAATTTTGACAGGCTGTCTTGTCATCTCGCCAACATACAAACATGTTGTCAACATGCACTGTACTTGGACCTCAAATACGAATAAAAATTTAATGAATGTTTCACCTCTTCGTACAGTTACATGAAATTCTGCCTGGCAGTTTGTGCGTCATCTTAGTGCCATGAACAGAAATCACTGTCAACATGTACCCCCCTTTATCTCTTGCCTTGGCAGAGAATTTGCAGTATAATCACATTATAGTGCATGTGCTTAGCGCATGAAATGCAAATAAACACACATCTGAAAACACTTCTCTTTAAGACAACATATGAAGGAAGACATACTGATAAAAACAGAGTCTGAGTTCAAAGAGAGTCATGTTTTATGATTTCTTTGAATTGAACTCCTTCAAATGAAATTCTCCACATTTTTTCATAAAAACTCATTTTAAAACCAAAACCCAAGGAATCCAGAGATTGCTCATGAAAATTCTGTCACAGTGAAATATAATTTAAGTGAAGAATGACTTTGGAATAATAACAGCCACGTTGCCCAAACTAGATATCGGATCAGGCGCAGCTGACGGTAATGAGTAAAGAGAAGAAATTGTTTTATATTGAAAATATTTTTAGTTACTTTTGTAACCATTATAAAACTTTTTAAAAAGTTAAAAATGGTTAGTTGATAAATAAGGTGACAAATCTGTCACAGTTCTAATTTAGCTTTGTATCTAGAAAGCTGGCAACATAAGCAGAAAACAGTAACAACACTCCTCTCTGCCTAAGGATGCAACAATAATTGGAAGAAGACAACAAACTTTTTAAAATCTGGATGGTTTTTAAGCATTGTTGTCTGACCCAGTCAAAATAGTGTGAAGCCCACAACCATTTGTATCTGCTAACGAGGGCTAAAAAAAGTTCAGGCTTTGGCTAAAGGCTCCAAACTTGCATGTTCCATTTAAATAAAGAAAAGTTGTTTGTGTATTTTGTTGCTGAACAACTAACAGACCAACAACCTTATTGTGAAAAGCTCTAAAGAAATTAGTTAGCAGTTTATGGGGTTCTGTTCATGTTTACAATAAACTAAAAATCCACATATGATGTCAGGCAAAGGAGAAGCGGCACAGCAGCAKAAAAAGAATTTAGCGTAGTTATCACTTTCTTGCAACGTGAGGTGTTACAAATATATTTTAGGCACAGCAAGCTTGACTGTGTGCAGCTGACTTACCACCAGGTCAGGATCCTGCATGAGGCTCAGGATCACCTCGTACAGTAAAGGTCGAAGGTCAGATTTGAACTTGACAGAGATCCATTGCCCTATTAACCAGATGACTCGTCTTCGTATCAACTTGTACCTGAAGAGAAAAAAAAAGTTTGGATTAAAAAAAGTTTGGTTCAGTTAAAAATAGCTTATTATTACATCTTTTTGTAAGTGAGTTAAAAATAGCTTATTATTACATCTTTTTGTAAGTGATATTTGCTGGAGAAACTTTAATGTAGCTGCATTCTAAAAGAAATGGCAAATTTCCTCTGTTAAACATAATGTAGAGCCATCATTGAAAACGAACATCYCTGTTTTATTCTGAGCATTACTAAAAAATAAAATAAAAAAACAGTAAAGCTGACACAAATATGTTTTACAGGTAAAATCAACTTAAAAAAACAAAAAGATGAAGTCTGTTAAAAGACAGCAAGGCGAAGACAGCCTTTGAGAACTTGTTTTTTTAATGTATTTAAATTAAAAAAAACAAAACAAAATTAATGCATGAGAGCCAAACAGTACAAGCCTGAGGGACAGTGGAGACACTAAGCAAAAACTAAGCAAAAGAAATAGTCTTCGAAAACCAGAAGGTTCCGAGGCCCACTTGGGCCTTGTAGTGTATGTTATGAATAAATTTCCTTGGACTGTGTGTCGGATAGTGATGGTTTTTCAACAGTTGTTTGGAGCATGTGTCCCTMAGCATCTGGCCTTTTAGAATCCAAAGATGAAATTGTGTCAATGAACCACCTTGACAGAAATGATGGGATGGAGGGATAAATATGAGATGATAAAGGAAAGGAGATAACACTCTTGTTGACCTATTGTCAAGTATCCACGGGGAGTCAACAGACCGAAGTCTATGCAACAAGCCAGGAGACACTAAGCAGTGTGACTGATGTCTTGAGGAAGACAGACTATGGTGTATTTATGACTGAGTGTATGTTAGAGAATACAACACAGCTTGGAAAACCAGAAATCTATTTCCAGCTTGTGTAATAAAGTTCTAAACTGATCACCACAAAGTTTTAGTGGCTGTGACAAATATCTATGAAAAAAAGAACAAACACATAATGGTGCCACTAGTAGTTCCATCACAGCCTTGTAGATTGGCTACAAATTCTTATTCAGCCGGTGCACTCTCTCATCTCAAATGACTGAAAGATTACTGTAGCAAGCTCTACAAAAATGAGTATGGTGCATGTGTGCATGACTTGTCAAATATAAAATATCTGCTTCTGTAGAGACTGCATCTGGTACTGTTTATTTTAGTACACGCTGGCAAAATGGAAGCAAAGAAGGAAAAGCAGATGGAGGTGAAGGCTGACAGGAGTTTGTGTCCGTCAGTCATAGGTCAGACGTGACTCATCCACACTAAACCTGTCTTCCTACATAACTTCACAAAGATGTCAGAATCCCTGCTCATCATTCTGGAAAACACATGGGCAATCCATGAACAAAACATGAGCTAAACAGAAGGAAGGCRCGCAATGTTACCGAATCCATGGAACCAATTATTTTTTACTTCAACATTGTGGATGTGACAAGTAATAACATTTGTTGCAAAAGTCATATTATAAAAAAAAATCTAAATCCTTCAAAAAGCCAGACCAATTCATTCAATAACACACAAATTATTATAATTATCTGAATAATAAAACAAAATTTGTCAAATAAAAATGTCGTATTAATAGTCAATTATCTTTTCAACTTTAARTTTTCCAATTGTACACACATCAAACTTTGACATCTTGTGTCATGTTGCTGCCTCCTGATCAGGTCGTCATTGTAAATGAGAATTGGTTTTCAACTGACATATCTGTTAAAACAAAGGTTTAAACATAAATAAATATTTTATTGTATACTTTTAATATGAAGCAAAGCACAGGAACRTTAAAAACAAAATCAGTTCATCGTGTCAAATTCTAGCAACCATGGAATGATGAGAACGGAAAGCCAAATTAACTTTGCAATGTGTAGTGGTCACACTGATAAACATATATAGAAATAATGTAGTACAAATAATTTTTATAACACAAAAAGGTCAAGGTACAAACGACAATGACAAAATGCCAAAGTGTTTTTTCAGTTCTCTGCGCTGAAAGTAAAAATGATAAAACACCATATATCTGTGTCTCACAGTCTGTGAAGGTGACACAAAACCTCTTTCTTGCTATTCCAAGATAGTTCATGAAAGTGATACTAAGGGCACATACAGGTAAGTCTTTTTAGAAGCATGAGTCACACGTTCGCTTTGAATGAAAATGTGCATTGAGGGTTGTGCATTTCAAGATGACTTGTGTTTCCTGTGATCATAGTCGTGATRTATCTCACGGATGCCAACAGTGTATCCTGTGAAAGAAGAAACTACTAAAGGGAAAAAAACAAAAACCCAAAGACACAGTAACCTGTCACTTTATCAATACACTTGTTCAAAACAGAAAAGTGGGGGYTTTAAGACATTTTAAATGTGGCATTGCTGTGTGTGCCAGACAAGCTGGTCTGAGTACTTAAGAAACTGCGGATCTACTGAGATGTTGTTTTTTATACAACCATCTCTAGGGTTTTAAGACAATGGTCCAAAAAAGGAAGCTCCTTTGAGCAGCATTACTGAGGAGAAAAAAAAWCTTGGTGTTGTCAGAGAAGAATGGGCAGACTAGTTAAAATATGACAGAACGGCAACAGTAACTCAAATACCCACAAAGGTTTACATAATACCATCTCTGAACATTGGCTACCTCTGATTTTTAAAGATTGGTATAAGCTATTGGAAACTCAAAATGGATCGAACTTTACTTTTTTCTCCTGACTCTCAATGCTGCAAGGAGACATGAAAAATTATACTAATTTACTGTTTTGTAACGCTTAAAAATACTGTAAACTTTAGATTCCTGGTACCTTACAACAGGAATCTTTTGTAAAAAAAAATGATCACAATGGCAAAATGGCCAAGACCCACGTAATTGCACTAGCAGAGGCTTGGCTGCAGACTTTATTAACAACGCTCAATGCCACCACATGACAAGAGAGTGAATTGACCCTTGTTGTATATTCATTGATTGTTGATGAAGATAAGTGAAGACTAGCAACATCAATGCATCTCACAAAARGACCCATGAATTGATTCAGAACCAGGCGTGATGAGGGGGATGAAAATCAATAAGGCGTCAAGGATATCCTTCGTCAAGGAGACAGCCTAGCAGTTGTCATAGTCATAATGAAATCCCAGACACAAGTAAACTTTGTAAGCATGAGAAAAGAAAAGTTCAGACTGCTTTAATGACATGGTGAAATCAATGCAAAAATCTTTACTTTTATGTTCATTTTCTAAATGTTGCCCCCAATCAGAATCCAACATTTTAATGTTTGATACTTTATTACTTTATGTTGGGAATATGTGGGGGGAAAATTTTTGAAAATCAAAATAAACATGCTGTAACAAAACAAATACTCCTACAGCCAATACTCAAAGGACCAAAGGCTGCAGACAGAGGAGCAGCTGGGAATGTTCTGCTAACAGTGACAAATGTGCAACAGACAAGTGAGTCAGCCAGAAAATCTGTTTTGAGTGTGGCTTCTGGCAGAGACCAAGTAGCAATTGTTATTTAGCWTCTCTTGAGGATTTGCCAAGTTGGGGGAATATTTTCAGCCATGAAGCTGCTTTGCTTTATCTGCCATTGCTATTATCACAGTTGAAAATCAAAGTCAATGCAGATTTATTACTTGCATTAAATATTGAGGTTCATGTGTGCATTGAAAAACGGGATATATTAACCTGTCTGCAGTGGAGACTAATGCTGCATAAAGGCTCCAACAATATTTCCCATGACAATACAAACATTGTGTACAAAGTAAACACCACGMACAAACAACCCAAGGCATATTTCTGCTCTGCTCGCCAAACTGCAGCACACATTTGAGCTCTGCAACATTCCAGCTAAAATATTGTGAAACATCAACTAACTTTTTATTTCAATCCTTCATTTAAAGAAAGACTATGAAACCAAAGCTGATTGTTTTCTGCTGATTGGAAACTTGGTGACAAAAACAGAACTTTGCTTGTGCAAAAAATTTCCTTCAAATATTAACAAAACATACCGGTATCTTTGTGCAACAGCTTAGGGGGATWTGGTCAAATTTACACTGATCATAAACAAAACCAAATAACTTCTTAACATCTATGGGAATKTTTCTTTTTTGTAAAATTTATCCCRAGACAGTTAAGAACAAGGGCAGGGTWGTCTTTGTATAATCAATAATTTTATTAGGAAGATTAATGCCAACAACAAAATTATGAGCAAACAGTTATAATCAGGCTTCTACACTCTTTTCAGCAATCAAAAAAAGAAATGCATTTTGTTTTAAAAACAGCTCAACAGCTTTTTAGTTTAATCACCAATTAGTGTAAATCTGCTTTTAGTAGATATGCTACTCTATGGCCTGCTTTTCTGGTTAATAAGCTTAGGTTTAAAAACTAAAAATAAATATGACTGTTTTAAAGGTTATAAGCACATGCTCATTGTATTTTCTACAATTTCTTTTTCTTTTTGTTCTCATTCCAATGTTAATCCCCCTTCATTTTTTACAGCAGTTACTATAAGATAAGAGTTTATTTACACGTGTTTCCATCGCCAATAAGTGAACAAGACACTGAGATATTAAGAGTAGCAAATTTGAGGATAGAAATTTATTGTCTTTGATTAAATGGGGAACACATGCCTCATTGGATTCTTTATTGCTGTCAAGGATAAATATTTGAAAATATTTTGACCATGTTGGAGATAGAAGCAAACCATCCTCACAGGTTTTGAAAATATTATAAAATATCTATGTTTAAGAAGAAACAAAATATTGCTTGATAAAATATGTAAGTTACATTGTAGACAGTGTAATGAGATTTTAACAGATAGAAGATATGGTTATTTATTTATTAAAAACAAGAAAGCTATTACAAGCAACTGTGGCAGAGTGGAACTCTAATACTCCAGGAGGAATGTAAATTATAATAAAAGAGATTACGGTAATCTAATTTATGTAGTACTAAATCACACGGTTTGCCACTGAGCTCTATTTTCCTAGCAAAGTAAAATGCTGGATGGGAGTTTCAAAAAGTACAAAGGAATGAATAATCAAGTAATAGTCCAGGTTTGTTCACATCTGCAGTGTTGATTCAGCGTCACGGGAACATCTACATGCTTGCACTTTGACGTCAGCACCAACCTGAGTGGACGGCCTTCTGAGTGATGTCGGCTTTTSTGTTGTGTTCACCTTGGGGTCTGAGTGTGAAGGGCACTTCTTTGTTCTTCATTTCAAACACGTCACCTCGCCTCGGGCCACTTTCACTTTTTTCCCAACTCTTTCCACATGCACCCGTAAAGCAGATCCCTGTTTGTTATTAGTTCTGACTTTACCCATCATCTAGTTCATTCCTAGTTTGTACACTTGTGTCTTGAATCCTGCTTGACTGCCTGAGACTTTAAAGAATGACCTTGAACTTTACATGTAAGCAGAAGTTAATATAACCTAGGCACAAAGTGATTCTGAGCTGGATATAATAAAGATATGGGAAAAGGTTAAAGGGCTTCACACACTTCTACATTTCAGTGTGTACAAGCTATTAGGGCTGTTGCCAGTGCATGACACACTGCACCAAAGCACTTGATTGTAGTTTTTACTACAACACAATAGGTGGCAATATTGCACTGATTTGTCAAATGTCTATCCAAAACACTAAAAAAGAAAAAAATGTGAGTGTGCTTGTGATTCCTGACTGATTCCCCAACATCTTGTTTTGCATATTGTCTTTATCCACTGTGTGTTTAGCACACGATTTTTTTTGAGAGCTTATCAGCCTACACTGATTACGCACAGTCAGAAAACTCTGGGATGCCCATGGTCATCTACTAAGAGACCATAGGCAGTGAGCAAACAACTGAGCGGACACAGAACTAAGGAGTACACTGGAAGGAAAGCGAATTGTACAACATAGCTGATGTCACTAACTTATGTAACTGCCAAACATTTAACAATACCTGTGATGGGTGACTTGCAGTTCTCCAAGAAGCTGATTCTTGAACCACTGGTCAAAGTCCACGTTGTCAAACAGCTCATATGCCGCCAAGCCCACTGCATTGTAAACTGAAGAAAAAAAAAGAGTCCAATTTAAGCGAAAAGTGAATTTAAACACATATTACAATCTTTATTGAAAAAAGAATATCATAATAGGAGGAAAAAATTAAGAAAGTGCATTATTTATATTGGGCTGTGAAATTAATCGAGTTAACTCTGATTAATTTTAGTGCTGCATGGGCATAGATTAAAATTTTTTATCGCGATTAATCACGATTAAAATTTACAATCATTTTACTATGGCTGAATATGTAGGTTTGTATATTGCAATGCACTCAGTGCATGCTAGGTCATGTTTATAAATGAGAAGTGGTTCTCTAACAGTTTACCTGGATAAATAAAGGTTAAATAAATAAAACAAAATTAAAAAAAAAACTCCATGTGTAACACATTATGTACAGATTTTTTTCTTTTTGTCTTCTTATGGCTTATTTTATTTTATTTATTTATGTTTTGCTGACAATTGTGACCTCAGTATCTATCTTTCATTCCTCATGTAGTACTCATTTGGAATGAAAATCACTGAATTCTTGATTTAACCATCATTATTCTGCACAAAATTTAACTCACTCTAATATGTTTGGAGCATTTTTTAGGTCCTGTTTTATATTCAAAAAATCATGTCTAAGCATCCATTTTGTTTTCTAAATAAAAACATTAATTTATTTTATCAATATGCAATAGAAATGTATGTTAAATTTAAGATTAATCATGATTAATTCACAGCTACTTGGGGATTAATCAGATTAAAAATATTAATCACTTGACAGTCCTATATTTAATACAAGAGCATACAAATTTCCATTGCTTCAATTTAGTTTCCTAATTTTCAAGTTCGGCAGAAATTAGTTCTTATAACAAACACTTAAAGAAGCTACGTTTTACAGATAAATAAAACTGACAAGGGTTCTGAAGTAACTATGTGCATTCTTTTTTTAAGAAGTTTGTGATGGACTGCTCCTCCCTCTCTTCGGTTCTTTTTCAGCTATTAAATAACAGTACAATGTTTTGACACTTGTGTTTCACTTGCCCTGGGGACACACTTTAATTAATTCCTGCTCCATTTCATTGCTGCATTATTGCAACACTTGAATGAAATGTTCAAAACTTTGCTTTTGTAGAAGTTCAAAAATGGCAACTCAGGCGACTAATGGGTCTGTTTAAATGTACTTGCTCACTTTTATTGTACAATAGTTCAGGAAGTGGAAGGTAATGCTATCCCTGCAGCCTTTAAAAATTATAAATTAGAGACAGATAAAAGAGCTACTAGAAAAAAAACATATAAACACTTCATTGATCTCTGCAATATGAAAAATTTAAAACACCACGACAATAAAGGAAGCCATGCAATGAATTCATATCTCCAGCAGTGCCAAGGACTTCTCAGGCCACAGAAAATATTACATGTTTATAAATCAAGTCAAGATGTCTCACGCTGGGAGCTGCAAATACTTCACAAATAAAAAGGAATGTGGGACAAGGGCAAAGGGGGGACAAGGATGTTTCTCCCCTTTACTCCTTGTACCATTTACAAACTCAGCCTTCACTATGATGCCCACGACACACATTTATGAAGTTTTGTGACTATCCTACTTAGTTGCAGCATCCATCATGCTGACAAAAATCTGGCCTCAGAGAACCATAACAAAACTGGGCAGCGCACTCGCAACAACCTTTGTTATTCCAGTAGCAGCAGGTGTCAAGGTACTTAAAAACACATCTAATTTGCAGTGCCAGCATCACAATGATGCCTCAAAGGGGTTTTAAATGGCAAATAATTTAAAGCAGACTATTGCAGCTTCATAAACAATATAGTTGTTGTCTGATGTGGACGAGATTTTATTAATGTCTTAACAGGACAAAGTGGAGGATGAATAATTGGCGCTGCACCATTTGTTATCCAAATTATTAAATCAAATAAAGTTAAAAATACGTCTGGTTTCATTTGTGAAGAGTGTCAGTGAGTGGTGGTAGAGTCCAACTGAACCTTCTTGCTGTAAGGCATCAGTACTAACCACTGAGCTGTCATGCTGTCAAATAAATTCAGATATGTAGAAACGGGAAAAAAAGGTTTTAAAAGTATTTATAAAATTCAGGGMTTTTTTTTTTACTCACCAATACGCAATTTGCATGTGGATGAGAGGTGCAAATGGAAAAGAAAATTAGCTTTGCAAAATATCCATGTTTTTCTTGGACAGGGCCTCGGTCTCATCTATCACATGTTGGAAATTCATCAAGAGGGGAAACCACTAACATTTATTACGAAGGGTGTGGTCCAAAAGCTCACTAGTGTCACAGCTGGCATGATCCCAATGCCGAAAATTGCTTGTATTTTTTAAAAGCTAATTTTCTTTTAAAAAAAATTAATAATTAACTTACCAATATTATTGAATGTTGGGTCCCTGAACCATTCTTATCACAGCACAGCAATGGTGTTTACCGCTTTATTAACTTAGTACACTGTTGGGATTTCTACAAGTATCCAGGTCTCAGCGACCCTCTTAGCACACAATGATTTATGTGAGTATGCCATAAATCGTAATAAGTGCCAGTCTGGGCATGCCAAAGGAGTTATAAATAGTAAAAGAAGGTAGAGAGGGGAAAGGAGGCAGAAAGAAAAAAACTGTCGTGAACATGAGAAACTGACTGAGTGTGAGAGCAGCACCGTTAGAATCGAGCTCATTATCCCGATGCAAAAAAGGGTCAACCTAATGATTAGACTGAAATTTTCATGTAGTAATTCTGGCTTCATACGCAAGGTGAAAGTCACTCTTGTTCATGCCATGAGCTTCATAAGTTCAAATATTATGTATTGTTTGCTATTATAATTCAAGAAAAGTTCTTTAATGCTCTTACAATTTTACAATTACTTTTAAAAACAAAAATAATTTACAGTTTTTATATGTTTTCAGCTTTATAAATACTAACTCTTAGATAAATCTTAAACTGACCTGCATCCTTCATTAGCAACTGAACACGGTCCTCCACATTAGTTGGGCCTGCAAACAAACAAACATACATTTCATGCAGTTTAAATGACAAGATAACCTGGATTTTCAGGATAAGATTTAAGCTATACAATTTTGTATTCATAAAAATCACTGTTTAATGACAACAGATGATGTGTGGAATGCAATAGATCTAGTTCCAACATCAAATGACAGTTCAAACATTAAGAGGCCTTGACCCCACAGTATCAATCATGCTAAAGTCATTTTACCAGTGTGCTCGCTCTCTCTCCATTACTCCCTGCTCTGTACTTAGTCTTCACAAATCAATAGATGCTTTCTTTCAATCATAGAATTGCTCAATCTGTTTTTTTTCCCCTCTTACTCCAGCAGAACCAATTTCCACTCTGTCACTAGAAAAGGGAAGTAGATTGAGAGAAAAGAGCAGGAGCAGACCCCTGTGATCAACCCCTGTGAGCAATGGCACCACTAATTCAGCAACAGGACAGAAGATGCACACCACTTCCCTAAAGGGACCAGAAGCTGTGTGCCATGTGTGTGTATTTGACTGGGAGATCAGTGAGATGAGAACTGGATGTGCAGGCTGTCACCAGGGAACTTCACAGTACTGTCAAGACTATAGATTACTTGTGGCTTATCTATGGCAACATGTTCAGTAATTTTCTGATGTATAATGATGGCTTATTACAGGGCTATTCAACTAGCACAGAGGCTGAACATCCAGCAATTAGTCATTTTGTAAATAAAGTATTACCTTTGAAATAGTTTATTTTGCTGAACCCTATGTAATAAAAGTAGTAATAATAAAACAATATAAAAAACAAAACTAACACATTATGCCTCCTATAATATTTTAGACATCTCTGACTTTCCATATTTTTAAACCAATTTTATTTTCACTTTCATAGTTTTATCTTCAGCTGTTTGTAGTTTTAACTGTCTTGGATGTTCACAGAAATGATTTTTTTACCAGCTTCTGGCCAAGATTCTGAAGTTTCTGTAGATACCACACGCTTATGTTTACCTAAAATAACTTATAGTAATTAAAATAGAAAACCGGGGCTTTGGGTTTTAGAGATGAATGAATCAATTGGCGGGCTGATCTTTGGTCACTCGCAAATGTGGCCCGTGGGCCGCCAGTTGAATAGCCCTGGCTTTTTATTTATATTCACTCAAAAAAAAATTCCTTAAAAAAAAACCAAAGCTTGCTGAGCAGTTAACAGATGGCTGAATACTTCACTGACCCTGCAGATTCTGAACCATGTCCAATAGAACTGGTGTCAGGGTTTGGCTGTACTTGTGGAAGATTTCCAGGAACAATACCTCCGTACAAGGCTAATAAAGAAAAAGAGCAGAAAAACAAAATGACAGACAGTTAATTGGCAGTCATTATTACAACTTTCATTAAGCCTTGCAACAACTTGTGGTTTTGTTTTCCACCATGTGTCAGTAGGTGGTCACATCAACAGGTGAGATCAGCACAATGCAGAAGAAAAAACAAATATGAAAGAAAAATAAAGCAAGCTGTTCAAAAAAAATGAGATTCATAATAATAAAAAAGTCGATAATAATCTATAAGGGAATTTTATTTTATTATTTTATTTATTTAATTTTATTTTATTTATTTATTTATTTATTTTGTGGTTTTATTTAACAGAGACAAGGCCCAGTTACATTTATTGGTTTATTGGATTTAAACGTCACACAAAAATATTTGAATAAAGAGATCCAACATATCTGARATGACTTGGGTCACTTTGGGGAAAATGTGGCATGAACCATGGCATTTGGTCACTACTGCCAGTAGGGCTGCCACAAACAATTATTTTTTATAATCGATTAATCACCAATTATTTTTTTCGATTAGTCGATTTATCGGTTCATACGTTAATTGCATATAAAACATACAGCTTATCGTGCCAGAATGCAGCTTCTATTATATAACCATCATTAGATTTTAGCTATATGCTAACTAAAAATAATTGCTGTGAAGGCAAGTTCTGCTCTGCAGATATTGCACCGGTTTCTCTTTCATTTTCTTAAAATGATCCCACACTTTTGAGCTCCGTTGCCAGGTAGCCATGGTACCAGAGCCTGTCTGTATAATGTCTTGTGACGTCCACGGCCTACCCCAGTTACCACTACTGCGCATGTGTTTCAAGGACAGAAAGGCAGATGTGGCAGTGGAAGGTGTCAAAGCAGTTTGGAGAGAAAAACAAAGTAAAAAACAAACAAAAAAAAGAAAATGATTAATCGATTATTAAATTAATCATCGATTATTTTAATAATCGATTAGTCGTAGACTAATTGACTAATCGTGGCAGCCCTAATTGCCAGATGAAAAGCTTATCCAGCTTATAAAAGGAAGACAAAAATCAAGCCAATAATCAACATAGACTGAGGAAAATTTTAATAGTGAAAGGTCATCTATAATCAACTGCTGGAAATAGTGACCGTGTAGCAAGTTCTGGAGAACTGACACTTGATCTATGAACCCTCCTTAACAGGAAAATATGCTAATACAAAGTCTAAAGAGAAGGAGAGCTACTGATAGAAAGTCCAACCTCCTGAATAAACCATGAAGCAAAAAAAAAACGTACACTTTCACTGGTCATATTCTAATCTGAACTTGGCAGCTGAAATGTTTAGGTACATGAAAAACTAAAACTAAGTTGCAAAAAGCTCTTAAACACTTGTTATTTCTGCAGGGATTTCTAAATTATAAATCACTCCACTTTTTAATAGGCTATACTTCTTTGTGATCAAACTTTCTGTCTCCAGCATCTCGCTTAAAGTAAATATCAAGCTTTAAATTAAAGAATCCTTTACTTCAAGGAAGATATTTGTCATCTGAAAAGATTTAAGCAAGAGTGGGACACAACACAGAAGGGGGAAAATGAGAAATTGCAAGGAGACTAAACAATAAATATAATCAAGGATGAGGGATCATTTCATTAGCAACTACTAATTATCAGCCTCTGCCAAAGCTTCATAAGCTGCTCCTTCAAGATTACATGTAAAAAATATTCTAAATGCTTCATTATATAAGACTGTTCAATTTTTTAAATAAAGAAAATTATAAGAAATATTTTTTACTAACTACTAGAAAACCTTAAAACCTTTTAGGCTATAAACTGTACAGTGATGATACAAACACTACTTAATGTAAAATATAAAAGGTTTCACAATCTTTCATTTTTAATATAGAGCTCCATGGAAAACACAGATGGAATTACAGATTTAGTTAAATTAAAAAGAACACTGTAAAACACTGAATGGTGGGAAATTTGTTACATGTAAATGCAGTCTAACAAATCGGGATAATCTTCAACAATCTACGTTAAAATTTTATTCATGAACAGACTACATGATGGCCATGTTGTCCTCTATCTGTAGGGTGTAATGTATGACGGAGGCCCAAAGTTTGAGTCTCCCAAACACATCACTGAGGCAAAGCAAAGATGTCTGCAACAGATTTCCAAAAATCAAAACATTTAATGCCAAGTTTGTAAATGTGTAATTTTGTTTTAACTTACCCGTAGACTGTATTTCCAAGAGTCACCACCAGCTTCTTCAACAGCTGAAGTAAAAAATAAAACATTGTAGTTGAAGGTTCACAACAGAAGCACTACATACTGATATTCCCTTCCTGTTTATTTTAACTTCCAGTGGTTCTGTCTCAATAAAATCTATGATGAACCAACTAAAACCAAATTTATGTTCTTTAGCAGGTTGCTTCTTTGCACCTTTCTCCTAAAGCCACCAAAATCAGCACTATAAAATACAAACTAATCCTACCTTGAATAAAAGAAATGCTTCTAACAGCAAGTTCAAACGTTTGATATACATAATGTAATGTTGAACTGCTCCATATCTGTGTAGATTTCCAGTCATCGAAGCCACTATAATAAGCCGGGGAGTTCTTTGCACCAGTGTCAGACCTTAGGAAGCTCCTCCGATGCCATCTTGTTAAATATTTAGTAGCCCCGATGCTTTGAACACCAGCACATTAACACATTTAATATATTCTACAGATTATCAAATATTATTCACAGTTCAAAAAAAATGTGTATGAACTTCTCAAAGTAAGTCTGCACTGGAAGCTTTCTTGCAGACTTTATTACCTGCCAAACTAGCTAATCCCTTACAGTTCTGGACATGGTTGTGAACTCTAAGTTCACGACTATTACAGATATTTGATCACAGCTTGTTTTAGGGGCTGAGCTTTTACCAAAACTCTCAGGGTCCTCCTCCCACATCGCCAGCTCTTCCTCTGTGAGAAGGAAGTAGTGCGAGACAAGCCGGCGCCCGATCTCTGTCAGTGTTGGGTGAGTAAAGAAGGCTGTCTTGATCTTGTGAGCTTCTATATTCTCTGGTTTACTGTCTAATGTATGAAAAGAGAAGTGACAAAAGATAAATCCATTTTAAAATATTATATATACATATTATTCTCATTAAAATTTGGAATACATACTTGTGATTGACATACTAGTACTATTACCCTTTTTTGGATTTGCCAGCATCTTTTAGTTGATGTTTGAACATACATCAGTTGACAGCATAAATGATTACCAAATATAATTAATTTTACAGTAAAACTATTTAAATGCATTCCATTTTAGACAAGAGTAAAGAAAATAGTCTTCAAATTGTGTAATTTTATTATGTTTTCTCAATGTWTGTCATTGATGAAGCATTTGTAATCTGGTTTTCGTTAATATGTCACAAAGAATATATTTAACAGTCTAATTTACAATGTCTACAAGTCAGACTTCAAAATTAACTGGAAAACCAACATTAATACACAAGCTTGCTAACATAAATGCTTAATAAAGAGATCTCCAATTGGARGTAAAAAAAGCCACACTAACTGAAAAATGAAATGACTAATGCCATGCCTCATTGACATTTAAATTGCTGGAGGCCTTTTCCACAGCTTGAAATAAACATAAGCTGCAGTGATGAACAGGAATGCGGATGATATTTCAGAACAATGTCAGTGATCAGTTTTGAAGAGCTTGCAGCATTTTCTGTTGACTTTCTAAACCAGAGCCAAACTCAATCAGATTTGATTGTCTATATTTTAACATTCTTCTACAATTTGTCAAATCTAACTTTCTGAATAAGAGTTTGTTTGTTTTTTCTTCCGGTGCCGTTATYTCTTACCATCAATGTTCTTGGCCGGTTTGTATGCCTCATTCTTTACAATCATCTTGATGAGATTCATGCACTGGACAATGAAGCGTTCAAAGGTCACGCCCTCTCCGGCAGGTGTGAAAATGTAGCTAACGGCAAACTCCAGGGAGCGCTGAATTAGGGGGATAAATGCATATGGATGGCACTCCAGGAAATCCAGCAACTTCAAAAGGAAGAGGAGAGGAAAGAAAAGTACAGAAGCAATCAAACATGGAGAAAGATCGAAAGACATTACCAGAGTTAGGCACTGCACTACGGTAGTTAAAAATGTCCTTGCACAAAATGTAGCTTGTTCAATATTAATTAATATAGTCCACAGAACACAGAGGTCCGCGCCCTGGAGGCCTGGACCTCTGTGCCCTTTCCTGGATCTGCTCTGGTATGGTGGGTGCCGATGGGGCCCATGAGTTTGTCGCTGCTGGCCCCGGGAGCTGTGCGTGTGGTCGCTGGAGGGACTCTCCCAGTTCTCCCCTATGGTCTGATCTGGGGCGTGGGTGAGCGGATCTTCCCGTGCGGGTGCCCCTTGGGGCTCTGCACTCGAGATCCCTCTCGGGCCCTTGGGCTCTGGTCTTCCCTATGTCTGCCTCGTGTCTTGGGGGTTGGGTCTTCGATCCTCCACAGTCACTATGAAATATTCCATTGGAGAAATCTTGTATATACACACATGTTCACAACTGCTCACTAACAGGTGTTCTGATCCAGGGGGTTCTGACTGGTCACTGAGTGTGTATATATGTCTGTGTGTATATACTGACAATATTTATGAARGTAGGCATGTATGTATGTATATCTTTATATATGTATGGGCATGTGTATATACTTATATATGCCCTCCATGTATTTATCCATTTATTTTTCAGGTGAGCGGACAGATGTTGGGTGTGTGGTCCCGTGTTTTCTTGGTGTATATTTAATGTACTTCTAATCGCTATTTCAATCTTTCTAATTACTTCTCTCTCTGTTTTTCTCTCTTTCTCTATTTTCTCTTCACTTAAAAAAAAGTCACTGATGATGAAGAAATAAATAAACTAAATAAACTAATAATATTTGGTTTCGTTTTTTACTGAAGTGACAAAAAATATTTATTAATATAGTAAACTCACAACTTTAGTGTACAGTATGATTGTCTTTTCCAGCTTTTCTCTGCATGTGCTCTCTGGACCAACCTGGCGACCTGAAAAAAAAAAACATATAACCTTGATACAGAAGTAATACTTAATACAAGAAACAGCATTAGAATAGTAAATCAACTGCATCTAAATAACCTTTTTATAGTTTTTTTTAAAGAATTTTTACCCTACAAGTCACATTTACACACAAACATGTGAAAATCAGGGACATATTGCGGTTTAGTGTCTTTTCTTTCCCAAAGACACTGTGGTGGAGAAAGCCACGATCTGTATCAACCTTCCAATTGGCAGACAGACTTTTTTCTTCCTGAGCCACAGTCACTTAACGTTAAGTTGCATAGAATGTCAGTAGGCCCAACATTAAAAGCATTTTGCGACATTGGTGGAAACCACTGGGAAAAGCTATCTAGATTCTTCTTAACACAATTAAAGCCAAAAAAATATTCAGCCTTTTTATTATGAGGTTGTGATAACCTGTCTGGAAAAACTCTGGACTGACATAAAAAAAGTGCAGTAAAGTGTTGCTTTTTAAATCAGCAGAGTTAACAGTGTCCTCCAGACAGCAGCTCAGAAGGGAGAAAAGGCAGCGAAAAAGCAAGAAAAGTTTTCATTTATTTTCAATTACTAAAGAATATCTTTTTTAATAAATACTCACTTCACCTTGTCTTGGTATTGTCCTGTTGGTTTACTGGTGTATATGAATTCCAGTGCAATATTAGAAATCAAAAATAAAATGGCAACAATGATTTTGACTCCATAAAACCCACTTATGATGCTGGAGCAAATAAAGATGTTTTATGTTTTATCCTTCACTTTCTATAAAATTGTTTTAGCAACAATAAAAGCATTTGGGGCTCCTCAAATCATCATAAACAGTCAGGTTTATTGGTACCTTTAGCTTTATATGCACATAAATTTGTATCAGATACCAACACAAAATGACAATAAGGTTACCTGGCCTGCTGAGTATTTTTCTTGCAAATCAGAAATTATGCAAATCAATATTGCATAAACACTACATGTCAATGCAGTTGTTTCTTTGTTTGCTGGTGCATGGCAGCTAGTCATGATAGGAGACGATACATCATCAGGCACTGCAGTCATACATCGAAAACCTCAAATCTTCAAATCAAAGCAAATACATAAAAAAACCAAAGGGTCTTCTTTTTGACAGATGTGTAACTTCATAAAATGTTTTCTCACAGTATAATGAAAGATGAAAGTAGATGGATGACCCAAGTTGGACGACAGCCATCAAACAGAAAAAAGTCAGACACCTAAATGGATCCCAAAGACTGTCTAAAATCATCCGTTTATTTGGCTGACCTTATCAGACAGAGCGGAGCTGATACTGTATTTCTTGCCAGGCAAGCTATGAGCTTCCTTGCCGTTTCCTCTATCTGCCAGGCCCAAATACCAACAGGGCCCTGAACCTGTCTCTCCACTGCCATCAGCAAAGTGAATATTGGAAATAAGGTTGTGGTTCATATCTTAAAATCATCTTTTTCTTCTTTTTTTAAAGCTTGGGGTGCTATCTCACTCATAAGGTGTTGCTATGACAAACTTGTCTAGTAAAAAACAAAAGACCACTAATGTTCTTTAAATATTCACTTCATTTCAAAAGATAGAAAGCCTGTCAATAAACAAAATCTTTCCTCAGGTTTCAATTGAGGAGCCTATTAACTGAAATAAATTGCAGTAATTTCCTTCCAGTTGCAAGAAGAATGCCTGTTCTACTGGTGGTAATTTCCAATTATCATAAAAATTTAAGAGTCCAGTTTACAAAACTGAACACCGTTAATTGCACCAACGTCAACACTTAAGTTGTTTCCACTTCATGTTATTCACACAACAATAGAAACGCTGCGCATCTCTATTAGGATGGAGCTGTTGGTTGAAAAGCAAATTAGTTTGTGACAAATTTATCTTTTAGTTTTGGGAATTACAACTGAAATGTTAAATACATCCAGACATTTGTTTAACCGCAACAAACTATCAAATTAGGAACTTTGCTCGTTAAAATCAATAAACTTAATACAATTCAATGTGACTGCTCTGAACAAGTATGCACATGCATTCTGTTCAGAAAAAAAAAACAGAAGAGCATGCATAAAGGTACATGCCTTGGAACAAAACAGTTTTCTTAGAAAAAGCCCAATCATCCCTATAACTAACTTGATCCACACGGGAAAATAAACCACTCTAATTAAAGCAGTATACTTACAGAATTTGAATATTTTAAAAAATTAGATCTACCTACAGCTATTATAAATATTGTAAAATAGGATTGACAAACCAATTAATTTATGGACTATAAAAAAGGTATCATGCAAAAAAAATTTCTTGCTTTCATTAGTTTTAGCAATATTATATTGATCTAGTGCTAAACTTGGTTTACAGCAAATATGATATATGGCCAAGATTTTTGTAAACCACATCAACATATTTAGCACTCGATATATATTATATAACTACACCTAGCTGCGACAATCTTAAGTTTTCATTATTCTCTGTGTTCTAACCTATTTTCATCTATCTGTGATGATTTTTGGCACATACACACAAGTAATGCACAGAACAGCAAACTCCATAAACTATTTTCACCGTCATTCAAGTCACACACCAACCAATGCTCCCAAACTGGAACTTGATGCTTTGCAACAGTCAAAGATGGCAGCATCCACAAAAAGGTCCATTTGTGAAACTTAGAACTCCAGGCTTCAGATAAGTGATTAGCAGCCACACAAGCCATTTCTGGTCAATACTGGGTAAAAACTCTAAAAGGTACTTTTAGTTTACCCCATTTATATGGCCACCTTACTCAATTGTAAATATTATGCTTGAGCCCCTTTAAAATGATCACAAAAGAAAAAAAGAAGAAAATAATTGGTTTTATTAAAATTTCCACTTCATGAACACTGGCAGGTTGTGCTTCAACCTGAAATCATACTGTAATGTAGCCTAATTATCTCAGAGTGGTGCTTATCAGAAGCAGTGTTCCTACACAGCCTACAAGACAGTGTTATGCCAACCCTTCATGTTATTGAAGCCGACAGTTTGATCCTCTGGGAGACGGTTATAATTTTGCCATCATAACTCCAGGTATGTTGGAACCTGAAGCTAAGCACACTTCTACAAGTAATTGAAAGAGAGTCATCATCATGTTTTAATGGATATAACCTCATTTAAAAACATGCTACAATGTGCAAATGTTAAACTAAAAGACAATGTTTGGTGTAACCAAGTAATGACCGAATATTAGATGAACTAAAAAAGGTTTTTAGCAAAGGCCTTTGCTCACGCAAGATCAAGCAATTTTTCAAACTTTTATTCAAGTTGGGTTCATACCTTTTAAATGACTTAGGTAATTTAGTGCAAGTTTAAATGACTTCTGTTAACTTCAAGAGGGGGAAAAAAAATCAGCCCCAAAAGGGTAACTCCATTTCAACTTTTAATTTGACACCTTCATTATGCAGAGCTATTATTAAGGCCCAGACTCTGAGTATCAAAGTATGTCAGACAAGACTTCTGCATTTACTAGATGAAATGCTGAAAAGTCTGTTTGTTTACAGGAGGGAGAGTCGAGGATCAAAGATTTGAGACCAAGAAAGAGACAAGTACTCACAGCATTCCAAGAACTGTTTTAGCCTTTCAAACACAGCATTCAGGAAACCCTGAAAGGGAAYAAATGAAGAGAGAGTGAGATAGTTTTAATCTTTTTTAACATTTCAGCAGCTGAATCACTCATGACTGCTTCACGAGAATATCAGGGAAGATATACTAGCAGACGAATTGTATGTATGTGTGTGGGAAAGCCTGCCTTTGTACTTATGAGTATAAATAAAAGTGCCTAGCTGCACAGTATGAAAGAGAATCAATTTTCTGTAGCTTGCTGTAGTTGCAGCTTAGCATGAGAAATTAGATGATAGATGGAGGTGCTATCTGTTTAATTCGGCATTAATGTTCTGCCATGAGGTCAATAGCAGCGTCATTAATCACACGTCCTGAAAAACACATTTCAGCCGGCAACTAAAGTTCCTAACAGTCTTACTGCGGAGGGGGAAGGGTCACGGGTAAAGCACAAATGAGTGGGTGGTGGATGATGAAGAACACAGCGCGCGACAGACATTTGTTAAGACACAAGTGGGATTCCGATAAGAGGATGATGGAAAGTGAACGACACCGAAAAAAAAGAGAGAAAAATACCGCTGAATGAGTTTTGACAAAGTTTGGACAATTAAAAGTTAGAGCGATGAGGCCCATGGCAATGCCAAGGGAGAATTAAAAAAGGAGAAAGTAATTCTTTTAAAAATGTCTGAAAGTTAATAAGTTTTTTTTAAGGCAGAATATAATTAAAAATAAATCTTCCATTGGTCATATTAGAAACACAAATGCAGAAAATAAAACCAGTAGCATAGACACAGTTAGGGTAGTAGAAATTATTAAAAATGAAAATAAAACAAAATAAGGAAGACAAGGTGTTGAGAATCAAACTGATTCATAAAAGATTTCCAAAAACATTTTCATTTCTAATGAACAAGTTCTATGCCTAGTCCAGCCTCATTTATGCAGCACTTGATACATATAATATAATAATGAAAAAAATAAAGTCATTATGCAGAATAAGTTTGAATTTTTCATGTTGTGGCAGCTTGTGTAAAAGCTGGCAAACTTTACCGTGCCTTGGGTCAGTATTTTCTCCAGCAATGCTGCAACTGTGATGATTGGGAAAATAGACCTCGACTGTCTAAAACGATCACGTCATGTGTGAAAAGACATCTTGTAAAACAATTCTACTCTGGAGGCCCAACAAGGAGTGTCATAAACGATCGCCATAGGGCCGTYACACAACAAGCAGAGTTCAAAAAGCAATGCCAAACAAAGACAGATGGCTGCACCACTTGCTGTTTCAAAGACTTGAGTTTGAACACACGGCYCACTAAAATCAATAATGTACACGAGAAGCTGTGCCTATGTGAGAGGAAATAAGTCAGTTCACTGTACAATAAAGAATATGGCAAAGATAAAACAGGTTTTATTCTAAAATGAAAATTATAATTTGTTTTAATGTTTAACACCAAATTTCAGTGACACCAAGAAAGACAATGCAACTAAAAATGGTAAAACATGGCTGATTGTTTTCAGCAGAGCATGTCAGGGCAAGCATAAGGAACAAACAGTGCTACGTTTATTTTCATTTAGAGTTGAGTTCAGTTTTATTTTAAATGGATTTTATAAAAGGAACTGAGTGGTCTTCATTTAAAGGAAAATTGTTAAGTTTAGCATAAAAATTTCAAGAATCACATCATGGTCTGTGTGAGGACAAGCGCTCACAATTTATGCATAGAATTTAAAATACATAAATAATGGGGGTTTATTTCACCCAATGAAGGAAACATTATAAAAGTTTATATCTTTTAGTAAAATCTCAAGTATATGTAACACTTCTCTGGAATGATGTGTTCATCATCTTACGAAGACATCACACTATATCTCTGAAAGTCTAAACCTGTAAGAATTTTTATAAAGCAACTTATTTTCCTGATGTTCTGCAGGAATACTAGAGCACACAAAGGACAGGAGTAGATCTCAAAGGAAAGGTGTCACTTCAGACTATTTTTTTATTCACTCATTCATAAAAAACACAAATTATAAATCATATCATGGCACATCATATCATATCATATCTTCCCTTTTTTTCCCAAAATAAATTCAAACAATAATATACATAAAAACAGTATCAGGTCCTTCCTGAAAAACAARTCATATCAATACACATTATACTGCATAAAATTTCTTCAACAAAATAGACTTTACGCTACTTTTTAGTCCAGTTAGGAGGCTTGATTGGCTTCAAAATCTTGAACAAAACATTAATGTAGCAGTGAAAKATGCCATAGATAAAGCAAACACTAATTAAGCATTTGATGTACAAGAATAACATAAATTTGATGAGTCTGACACAAGCATATTATTAAAAACATGCAAAGTAGTGTCTGAGAACTCATAAGCAATGCTTTTAAAGATCCATCATTATGGTAAATTTGTACATTTTTAATTTAAATCTCAGTCAAAAGGTAAACTGATGTTACTTGAAGTAACCATAAAAGGTATTTTCTTAATTACCTTTAAAACAATTAAAAAATACTTGCTTACCCAGGCCAATAAGTATTCTTGTCAAATGTGTACTGCCATTCTTTTTATCAAACAAATGAATCCATTAAATAAGAAAGTAGCCAGAGTTTGGAGCAAGAGTTGAAAGAGCTGGGACATTTGGTAAGAATCATTTRATCAACTCCCAGCTCTGTGGAAACCAAAGCCCTTGGTGAAGATTATTTTAAACCCAATTTCAACAAAACTAAAAAAAAATAATAATAAACTGTTTAATAAAGTAGAACTTTCTTCACACTTGGGAGTGGGAGAGGAGCTCAAACAGAACTGTTGACTCTYAACCAGGACAAGGCTTAAGGCACTTTCAATCATCATAGCCATCCATATTTCGCACGGCGTGACTGGAGTTATTTTTAACCCAAAAACACCAACAGAAAAGATCCACTTTAGAAAAATAAGACTGTTATAAGGCAGACGCAGTAAAATACACTGCAACTCACCATTACTTCCATATTTTGCTGCGGTTCTTGAAATCCATGAACTGTCAATTTGCGAAGCACTAAGAGGCAGAAAATATGATAATTAATATGCAGGGCCATCATTTATTGTAAATTAAGTCAACTAATGTTGCCTCCTACAGTGTTTCAAATAGTACCAGCCTATATTAATTTAAGTTTACAACTTGTCTTGATAATTACATTTTGTAAACAGCTTAAATAATGTGAATAAAATTATATTATGCAGCTTGTAGTCAGTCAAATATGGCTATAACTTTCTTTTTTTTTCCTGTATGAACAAAATTCTGGAACTCCTTTGAATGACAATGCTATTGAGCGTGCGTGTGTGTAGATGAGAATATCAAGGTTGTTGCTTTAGTTGCTACCTTTAAGAGATAGCAGAGTCCTCTCCAGTGAGTTGAGCGCTGCAGCCTCATCCCTGGCATAGACTTGTTGAAGGAAGCAGTCGGTGTGATGACTCCACAGAGAGCATGCAAAGCTGTAGATGCCTGACGCCAACTAGGAAAATTCATATTAACAGTTATAAAAAGTCAGTTAAATACAGATAGAAATATCCCTGGATGTGAATAGTAGGGCTGCAACAATGCATGTACCCGTATCGAACAGTGCTGTATCGAACAATACAGATTTTTAAAATTAATTTTATCAACTTGTCTTCTGAAGATGCTCTGTTAAAGGATCAGTGGATCTGTGTTCGACTACTCCACCTAGGCTGCATTTTTGAGCGCAGATCCACTGAGAAACTTG